ATGTGCAGCGGGAGGGGGGTAGAAGGGGGTGTTCACAAGGTTCAGTGAGTGAGCCACCGAGGGTGTCACCATGGTGATTTGGCATCCGAATGTTGCGGTCGGAGACCTGGGCTACAGAGAAAGAGAAGTGAACCAGTGGCAAGTGTTGCAGAGAAACTATCAAATACCACCACACAACAAGGTGTGATATTAGCTGTGCTGCTTTATTCTGCATCATAAAGTACAGATAACCTATTCTAGGTTCAGGCCTATAGTTTGTGTCATTGACGGGTTCCTTTAGAAGCACGAGACGGGTTCTGAGTACCCTTGACCTTGTTGAGAAAGCAGAGCAGTGTCTCATCAGCATGGGAGGTCACCACCAAGCCTTGTTTAGTTCCTTGATTAGATTCAGACATCTCTATAAAAAAATCTCTCTCTATCTTTGCTGGAATTCATGATAGCCTCGCATTGCTACAAGCGTTGAACTTGTGTGTGTGTGTGTGTGTGTGTGTGTGTGTGTGTGTGTCGATGTACATGCGTTCAAGACGGTCCTCTCCACCCACATCCTGCCCACTGAGGCTCAGCACCTACTTGTATGCCTTTCACAAGCTCACCACATTCTTCCTCTCTCTCAGAGACACACACACGTAACACACACACTCTATATGTACATACAAAGATATTTTACCCATATAAAATAAAAACATGGTTGCACAACACTCTACTCAGCTGTGATGACCCACTGCCGGGAATTTTGCTGTAACACCAGTCCTTCCGCTAGTACAAAGTAAAATGCGTGGTTTTTTTTGTTTTTTTTTTGGAATGCCACAGAAAAACATCCGCATCTAATTTAGCTCTGGCAGGAAGTTTTCTCTTATCAGTTTAGTACACAGAGGTTTTTGGCCAGTTGACTCTCACAGGCTCACTCATGTGTATCTCAATAGTCCTCAATAAAGCTACTTAGAGCCAGGAAGAAAAGCAGTTTGAAGTAATGGTTTTACATTTTAGGAAGTGTGTTTATTAGCTAGATGTGAAGATTGATGACACTCGCATGTGTCTGTCGTGAAGTTGCAGCCAGTTAGCGTAGCTTAGCACAAAGACTGGAAACAGCTCTGTCCTAAAGTAACAAAATCCACCTACCGCTACCTCTTAAAGCTCATTAATTAACACATAATATTAATCTGCTGTAATTGATACAAAAGCCAAAGTGTAAAAATGCATTTTTACACTTTGGCTTTTGTACGTGTTAAACAAATCAGATATAATGTGTTTATTAGTGAGCTTCAGAGGTGCTGGTAGCCAGGTTTTATTACCTTAGGACAGAGGCTATTTCTTTCTAGTCTTTATGTTAAGCTAAGATAAACAAACCAGCTGCTGGCTGTAGCTTCATATTTAGCCTCCGGGCATGAGAGTGCCATCGGTCTTCTTATCTAACTCCCGGCAACAAAACTATTAAGCCATTTTCCCCAAAATGACGAACCATTTGTTTATGGAATACATGGGGAGTAGCCTGGAACTTGGCTGTACTTCTTTCTTTTTAAGTTAACAAGACACAGAGACGAGCACGACTTATGACTCGCCTCATTTAGGCCGATCCCCAGTTCAGGAGTTTGAGAAACACGTGTAAACAGACATAAACCATTCAGTGTTTGCGATCAAACGTCAGCACATGCGCATCATCTTTACCTCTCTGTTCTTTTTCTCTGTCTCACGCAGAGACCCAGCGTGTTCTCTATATTTCCAGTATGTGTGCCGACCCAAGCCTTCCCTGTAAGAGCCCTTGTGCCTTTGAGGGCAGAAGTGCATGGATCCCTTATGTTGGTGTGGAGCCAGGTTGCCCCTGGCTCCCACCACCTCCATCCCTCGTCTCCCCTCCTCTCCTCTTCCTCCCTCACCCAGCCACATCTCTAGGGTCAGCTCAGCTCCAGATTGGCCCCCACGCATGCCTTTGAATGGTGGGGCTTAGGCAAGCGCTTTAAAAGGAAGCCCAAGTCTGTTTCCCATTTCACCCCCCACCCCAACCCACACTCCTCCCCTCACTCCTTTCTTTCTTTTCTCTCACATACACACACAGCTGTCATCTGGCTTTTTAAGTTCTGTGCTGCATTTCTCCAGCTGGAGCTGGTTTATGACATTCCCTCGGCAGACTCTTTGGCCTCTCGCTCTCTTTCTCCCTCTCTCTCTGTCACTCTCTCTCTCACACACACACACACACAAATAACACAAAGTCATTTTTTCCTGTTCTGTTCTTTCTCTTCTCTCCCTCCACTGTCTCCTATTCCTCACATTCCCCTGCAGACGCTCTGGATGTGCGTTACACCACTTGGTATGTTTGGAGGCAAAGAAGGAGCAAAGTCACACACACATACACACACCATGTGTTAGCAGTCTGGGGGGGAGGCAGCGGAGGAGAGAGGGGAAAAAAGAAAGAGAGGGAAAAAAAGAAGTCAAAGGAAGCATCTCTTAGCAACCACAGGACAGTAATTACTGTAGCAGCAGCTGGGAGCAAACCAGATTTCCGCTGTGCGTTAAAGCACTGGCGTGGGCTACTTTACACACGGCACTGACTAACCAGAGCCAGCAGCCTCCTCCACACGCAGAGCAGAGAGAGAGAGAGGGAGAGGGAGAGGGTGGGAGAGAGAGCGAGAAAGAGAGAGAGGGAGAGAGAGGGTGGGAGAAGGACAAGAGAGGAGGACTAACCCTGCCTTGATGAGGTCGGGGTGTGTGTGGGAAAAGAGGCACAGCTAGCCAGTGTGCACAAGGCTCGAATATGGTTGGATCCAACTTGTACGTGTGAAGACTACCTCGGCGCATGTCCATGTTTGTGTATGTCTGAGTGGAGAGATATAACCTTGAAGACATTTATTTTTGCAGATTCCTTTGAATCATTTTCAGACAGTTTATTTATAAATAGTTTATTGAGAGAGAGAAGGCACAATTTGAATCTGACGTTTTCGAATACAACCGACCCCTAATCCTGCTCATTCTCATGTAATTTGCATGTGATGTCACATTTTGGTACATGAGCAGGGGCTGGAAGTTGTATAGATGGTTGTGCGAAAATAATGCTGGACATGAAATATCATCACACAGCCTCTTGATGTAATAACTGACTATCCTCCCCCATCTCTCATCACCTCTGCACGCATGAATCATGAATAGCCATCACTTTTGATGTTGTTGCCATGAGTACTGAAGTATTGGACTTACTTCTATTGGATCTATAGCTATTTATTTTATTTTCTGTCAATGTGTAGAAACATTTTTTGCTGTTTATATTTTAAAATGCGTTGCAGACCGTGGCATTCACAAGATGTTATTTATAGACACCTCGTTCTGATTGATGTCAACAGTGAGCTTCCCTCTTGTAATTATGAGATTGTTTGGCGTGAGGTGGAAGGAATGCTCACACGGTTTCGAACGTTTCTCTCTTTATTTTCGCATGTTTCAACTGCCTCTTTTTTTAGGCCTGTGTTTGTAGATTTTGCATCAGTTAAAATGTTTGTGGGAACACATGCAAGGCTGATGGGAACTTTGAGTTCTTAACAGAAGGGGCCTTGAGTCATCACCACACAGCAGTCATTTGGCCAAGTGTGGGCGCAGGATGCCCCCTGGTGGTTACAAGTGGAACACGCAGCCTACACACCCTGAGTCAAAACAGTTGTGGTCATGAAAAACTGAATTGATTGACCATTAGCGGTTTTGACAGTGTAATGGTGACATAAAATGTGATGATGATTGATGTTAAGGGCTTCAATTAATACTTATTTTCATTGTTTTTCCCTTTTCTAAATAAAATAATGGTGATTGCACATAATAGGTGATACTTCAAAATAATTTGTAAATGTTTGACTGCCCAGAAAAAGTACTAATGTAAATTTTAATTCATTATTTTTTGTCAGTGAGGTAGTCAATGAATTGATAAATCATGTCAGAATACAGATGTTTTGTTTCTTTGATGTGCATCCTGCTAAGAGGAAACATTCAAGTGCATTTCCAAACACTATCTGTCTCACTATCCTGACTGAGTTGAATGTTTTCTGTGTTTTTCCAGGCATGCGACGAGCCTCCCTCTATCTGTACCCCAATGAAAGAGCCCTTCTCTCCCCTGAACAACGTCGTCTCCACCGAGCCATTCAGGGGCTGCTACGTCCGCGCCCAGCCCTTCGACGAGTTCCCCTCCAGCAACCGCCGCTACCTGCCTCCACAGGTCTGCCTCTCCGCCAAACAAACAATCACACCTCCAAAATGTTAATTACACGTTCCTCACAAATAATATCTGATTGTTGTGAAAATGTGGAGTCTCAAGTGCAAGATAAAATTCTACGAATGACGTGTTTCTTACATTTAGTCACTGCAACAAAGGATTGTGTTCTTGTGCGGTGATCCAACTAATTCTCGGTTTCTGTTCTTTCGAAGGTCTCCTTTAAGTCGACTCGTCATGTCAGTTTTCACATGGACGAAGAGGAGATCGTTCGCATCAACCCACGCAAAGACGTGCTCATCCGCGGCTACGAGGACTACCGCCACCCTGTCATGTGGAAACAGGAGGCCGACCGCGAGGACCTGGACTTCCCCACCGCCTTCCACAAACTGGACAGTAAGAAGTGCGAGTACCTCTTCCCCGATGGCCCCGGTGGGGACTCCCACTCTGGCCCTGGTATGGGCATTGGAACAGGTATGGGGCTGGGGCTGGGTAAGGACACAGCCATCAAGACTCAGCCCTCGCCCCTGCTGAAGTCTAAGAAGGGCCGGCGGCGGCGAGAGGACGGCGAGCGTTCGCGCTGCATCTACTGTCGGGAGATGTTCAACCACGAAGACAACTGGCGGGGGCAGTGCCAAGACGCCCCCGACCCAATCAAGCAGTGCATCTACAAAGTCAGCTGCATGCTGTGCGCCGAGAGCATGCTTTACCACTGCATGTCCGACTCCGAGGGCGACTTCTCAGACCCCTGCTCATGTGACACATCTGACGAGCAGTTCTGTCTGCGCTGGCTGGCCCTGGTGGCGCTCTCCTTCATCGCGCCCTGCATGTGCTGCTACCTGCCTCTGCGCGCCTGCCACCACTGTGGCGAGGCCTGCCGCTGCTGTGGGGGCAAGCACAAGGCCGCGGGGTGACCTGACGACGGACTCTGGGACACCCTCAAAGCTAGCTAACACAGGAAGTGGATAAAAGCGGAAAATTAAAAAGCCGGCATCCTTTTTTCATTCCCTCTCAGACGGGGTGATATGTTGTTGATCCCCAGCTCTGAGGGCTTTTGGAGATTTCAGTTTGTGTTTGTCGCCGACAAGCAGCAGTGGAGGACAAACCATATGCTTTGTGGGGGCTCTGAGCATCAAGCTAAGTTCAGGAGCTTAATCTGCGGAGATGAGGAGGAGGCATCAAGATTAATAGACTTGGAGATGTTACTAAAACATACCTATACACACAGACACACACACACACCTCTCTCTCACATTCACACTCATGCATTGACAAAGCCAGGCCACAAATGTCAGAACTCTACTACAAGTGTAACTTTATGAAGGAAAATTGTCTTTTGTACAGAGAGTGTCAACTTAATGACAAAAAAAGAAAACAAAACTATTCTGCGTTCAGAAAAAATACTTGCTGTTTGAGTATGCTAAAAGGGATATGTTCTTGCTTTTTTGTGAATTTGCAGTTGGGTAACAGTGGCCTTTCCTTCATGGCTTAAGCATTTGCTGACAATGTAATTACTAGACAGAGAAAAGTGCACTAGAAATGGTATCCCTCCCCATTCCACAAGTAAAGGTAACCCTCTCAAATTCTTGTGGTACATTAACCACCATATTTAGTGTAATTTTAACATTTGAGAGATGTTGCTGTGGTGGATGTATGGCCAATTCCTTGTTTTCCTTTCCATCGAATGTTGACAAAAAAAAGAAAAATCTAAAAGTTACAGATTGCTTTTGAAGGTACAGCTTGGTATAGCTTTTGACATTCAGTTAGAAGATGCTAAAATGATTACTTTCCCGAGGTGATTTAGACCATTTGATTGCATTCCAAAATAAAGGGATCGATTCCATGATTAGAAGGGAAAATGGTAATGACTTTACCATGCTGAATTCCCCAAAATAGTTTTTCCACATCATAAAAATAGCATTAGAACCTATTGAACCATTTTGAATTGAAACCAATACATGACAATTTCATACACTTCAGTGAATTTCAGTTTTAGTCCAGTTATTTACTGCTGTAGTGAAATTGTTTGGTGTTTTTGTTTCTTCATTGTTATTTTCCTGCTCATTTTATAATTATTTTTTCGAAACAAAGGCTGAAATGTTGCTCAACCAGCAAGTTTTGTTTTGGTGAGTAAAGGGGTTACAGTGCTCCTTGGTTAAATGAGGCACTTAAATTAGGCTATTCTTTTATTGAGAATCCCTCAGATTTTAAACTTAATTTAGACTTAATTTAGAATTTAACATCCAATTTGACATTGGGGGGGAAAACCCCTCCTGAAAGCACTGCTCTCCAAGCTTTGGTTGCAGCACCCTCTCCAAATTTCCATGTTTGTCCCATGATTCAGTGGTTTTCTTTTTTTCTTTTCCCCCCTCATATCCTGTGTAAATGTAGTACTGCGTTCATCAAAAGTCCACTCCTGTATGTCTTCATTTACCTGGCCCTGAATGAATGAATGCATTGTTTCAGGAATGCTGAGTATCTTAGCTATTATAAAACATACACATGTTATGTATGTGTATATATGTATGTGTGTGTTTGTGTGCGTGTGTGTGCGCGCGTGTGCATAGGTCTTAACATGCACTGTTGATTTGATGTCATGTAACGTCACCACTGACTATGGGATTAAGGCTTTGACTCGTAACAGTACAAACCGGCTCCCTGTTTCCCAAAGCATCTTCGTCTGTTGGCTCAAGAGTGAACAAAGAGAACGATCAAACTGGAATAGTTCGACATTTTGGGAACTTCGCTTATCTGCTTTCTTTCCAAAAGTTAGATGAGAAGATCGCTACCACGGTCATGTCTGCTTGTTCAATATTAAGCCAAAGCTAGCAGTTGCTTAGCTTAACGTAGCATGAAGATTGTAAACAGGGGGGGCGGTAACAGCTAGCCCGGCTCTTTCCAGATGTAACAAAATCTGCCTACCTTCACCTGTAATGTTCACCTGTTAACCTGTGTTATGATTGTTGATTTATTGGGACTATTTCTTGGGATGGGCACAGTGACCTTTTGGACTTGTCACCATGAGGTTGCCAACAAAAAATAGTCCCACACATTAAAAACGCATTTTTACATGTTGGTTTCAGTACAGCTATAACAATTTAGACATACTGTGTTAATTAGTGAGCTTTAGCAGTGGTGGTGGTGGTAGGTGGATTTTGTTACTTTAGGATGGAGCAAGGCTAGCTGGTTCCCCCCCCGTTTCTTTTCCTAATGCCAAGCTAAGCTAATCAGCTGCTGGCACTAGCTCCACATTTAAAGGATAGATATAAAAGTGGTATAAATCTTCTCATCTACCTCTCAGCAAGAAAGCAAATAAGTGTAATTCTGGAAATGTCAAACAACTCCTTTTTAAGATCCTTTGGGAAACGGGGACTAGGCAGACCGTACGCCAGAGTCTAGCTGCGTTTAAACCCCATTTCCCATTCAAAACAGTAGAAGATTTTAAATTGAGCATGTGTTGCTCACAAAACCATTGTAGACTCAAACTCCCAACAGTAATAACAGTTCAGTTTGAACGTCTGGCTGCAATAACTGAAATTACCCTAATCCAAAAGGCATCGGCGTGTTGGAAATTAGTGCTAATTGTGATTCACCTCAACATGTAACAGCAGATTTGGTACAACATCCATGTGCTGTTGCTAACTGATATGCATCTCTTCTCAGCTCCAGTCACTCCTGGTTAAAATCAACGTAGTGACACCTCGGTCTCATTTATTTTCCTAATTCCGCCCCCGACCAATGCTCCCTTTACTTTCTATGCAAACTTTCTAACATGGGAAACACATTGACCTCTCTGCAGACTGAGTCAGTGACGGGACAGGACACTTTAACGCTATTATAGATAGTAGACCGACCCCTGGTACCAAACTCCAAACACGTGTAAATAGTTAACACTATATTTAAGTTCTGATAATAATCCAAGCTTTCTTTGTCTTTGAAATTTTAAAGATAGAGCTGTATTTATCGTTGCTGTCAGCATATACTGTAGCTTCAATTGACAGCATTATGTACATAGGTCACCTTTTAGTATTATTTCACATTGAAAAGTAGAGGGCGTTTGTGATGGAAATGACTATTGAGCTTCTAATAGAGTTTCTCTCTAGTTTTGTACGGTAGAAGGAAGGATAGTGCTAACACGGTACAGTAGTGGCAGTCCACTTGTTTCAAAAGTTTGATATATAAATATATATATACATACATACGTATAAAGCTGCTAGATACAATCACTAATTTTATTGTGTTGACAGAGAAAATCAGCTATGAACGACTGTTAAACCCTAATTCTCCAACAGCATATAACCGTGACGGTGAGTTTTAAATGTTTGATTGCTCTGTGTGATGAAGTGGACACTTGTGCATGTGTGTGGGTGCGCGAGTGTTACTATATATGTGCGTTCATGGGTTGCCCACAAGTGTGTGTGTGTGTGTGTACTGTATGTGTGTACTGTATGTGTGTTAGTTTCCAGCGTGCTGGCGGTGTGTGTGTGTGTGTGAGTGAGTGAGTGTGTGTGTGTGTGCGGGGTTGGTGTGTAACCAAATGTTTGGTTGGTTGTCATATTCTCCCATTGTAATTGGATTGCCCTGCATTATTGCAAGCTGAACCAAGGTTTGATGAACCTGATTAAAACTTGCTGGCTGAGAAGCAAAATGTAGGACGTGCATTTATACAAAGTGTAGAGAATGCTGAAATAACACTTCTCATTCTGCATTAACCAGCACAGTGCAACTTCCTGTCATGTACTGTATTATATATGCAACATGTGTCTGTCTGCTTTAATATATATATTTTTTTGACCTGCATTATATAAGACTTCAGTTTTAACCACTTTGCTGCTAGTCTTTTATCCTCTTTCAATCTTGGAAATTGTGCATATCTTTGGGAATGCATACAAGTGTACATTCTTGACATTGTGTAGATTAAAAAAGAAAAAAGCTATATAAACCTGTTTCTCTTCAGTGTATTGTTTTAAAAAGGTTACTTTTCACAGCAGTTGAGTGGTTATGTTTCAATTCTCCGATGCTTTGGTGCACTGATGATACTATATGTAAGCTTTTTTTCATCTTACAGCGCTTGATGTAACATTTATGTGATTAGTTCTAAATAGTGGAAGACATTTGTGTTTTGAAACTTGCAGTATAAATGGTACTACTCTTAACTATTCTGTAAACACTGCCTGTTTTCTTTCCTTTTTCTTTCTTTCACTCTCTCTTTGTGCATATTTCTTTCCTCTGCATCTTCTTTTCTCGACGTTTCTTAGTGCCATCGGCTTTCACATCCTGACAACCTCAAAAAAGTGCCTCACGTCCATCCTAGTTTCTCATATTATAATTTAACATCTCTCGTTCTGGTTCTATTGGTTTCTACACGTCTAGGTATTTCTTATCATGGTTCGAGAATACCAAGTATATGATGTAAAATTTATAGTCCCAATAACTCATGTCATAGTTGTATTTTCTTTATACAGATGTAGCTCGTTACTTTTCATAAATATATAATGTAAATATGCATACATATGTTTGTAACTGTTTTTATGTTACATCATACACTTGTAATTTGACATATCAAATAACATTATCATAATAAAATGGTGAGTTTTAATCTTTTGCTGTGCAGGCTTCGTTGTGTTTCTTTCCATCAACCGTTATTCGTATGAATAAAATAAGGTTGGAAGCTTGAAGGTGTGCAGATACGAAACATGAACAAGTTGTATTGTCTACTTTGATTAGAGGATTTAAATAACCTTCCTCTCTTGTAAATACTTGGAAGTCCAACTATCAGCATAACATCTCCAAATGCTTCAAGGGGGGAGACGAGACACTATTATACTAGTGAGTATCAGAGGTACTACGCTTAAGTACTTATACCACACTGAAAATACTCCGTTAAAGCCCTGCGTTCAAAACCTCCAGCTAAATGTATAAGTATGATCAGCAACATTGACTTAAAATATCAAAAGTATTGATTCTGCATTAAAATGATCCCTGTCAGTGTTTTACTATTAGTTATGATGACTTTGGATTCATATTACTGCTGTAGATGTTTTAAGGCTGAGCTCATTTTAACTAATTTATATACCGTTTGGTAGTTTAATCTACAGCAATGCATCATATTCAGTAAGATCATAAGTTTGTAGCATCGCTGTCCTGTGAGAACCACATAACTCGACAGAGTCCACTTTTAATGAGATCATAAAAACAGCCCTGTTTTCAGCTTTGTGACAATGCATTTTTAGTTTATTGAGCTTAAGAAGGAGAATTTTCTCAACCCATTAGGAACTCTTGGAGATGCATAGTTTGAAAGGGTATGAAGAATTGTGAAAAGTAACTCAAGCTGTCAGACAAATGTTGAGTAAAAAGTACAATATTTGATTCAGAGGTGTAGTGGAATAGAAGTGTACAGTTGCATGAAATACTCAAATAAGTACCTGAAATGTGTACTTAAGTACAGTACTTTTAATAGAATTAAATCTACTTATTTACATTCCACCACTAGTGATTATGTTTAGGGAGCTCATCATTAATATTTTACAATAAGTTACAACAAAGTAAGTATTTAGCCGAACCAGTCCATTTGCATCCTACAACAACAACACTAATCATTATCCTCATATTTTTACTCACCCAGAGACGATATGTTAATAAACCTTGAATGAAAACTAGAACAAGCGTTTACAACAACTGATAACTTAAAATAAGTACCTAATTGGATTTACTGAATTTCTTGATTTTAATTTAGATCATTTTAGGCACTAAATAATAATTAGTAATAATAATAATTCCCCTAAGGAGAAATTCATTTTGACACAGCAGCAATAGGGCAAAACCGCACAAAAAACAGAAAACAAAGAATATCACAGTAAAAATATTGCTAATATTATTAATATTAGAAGATATAAAAACTATAAATCAAAGTATATACACTATATTTGCTGTTCCAAGTAGACAATGGAGTCCAAAATATGCAGAAGAAAACTTAAATTGACTAAAAACAAAAAAACTATAAACTAAAACTACTAAACTAAACTAAACTAAAACTACTAAAGTTATGTCATTGCAATTAAAGATC